ACATGTCAGAAAGGTGTAGTAATATAACAAGGGGTACCGTTTAGTTCTCGTAGCTACTAAGATAACTGTAGTATGAGTCAAGACTAAGCAAAAACTTAAAGTATGTTTGATGGTCTCATCTCAGTTATTATTCTAAGATTTTATCATATATAGGCCTTTTAAGATCTACAACCAGTGGCACAATTTAGCAACGAGAAAACTATCTAACTTTTGTTAACGAGTTAATACTGGACTACACGAAATCACAAGTATAATGAATGAGGTAGGTACGTTAATGGAATCTTCAACATGTCCTTGGTCGAGACAGGCTGTCATTAAAACCTACCTATCATATTGCAACGCTTACTGTCCACTCACTCATAAACTCTCTCTCATAGATGTGAGCTCTGAAATGACGCAACAAGCTTTTTCTTGATCATATATTAGTCCGGCTATTGAGGCTATCTAATTAACTTAGACATGACCCTCATTGGAAGGATGAGATTGAGATATGATTTGTAATGTGATATATACAAATACCTCGCCCAACACTTCCCCCTCTTTTAGCTCACGGTTGGGCATATCCGAGTCTGCCGTCGTGTAAGAGTTTAAGTAGATAATTTATCTGAACCGAACATCGTCTGACTACAGTCCGGAGCCAAGAAACTTGTTGAGAGAAACACAGGGTCCGAGGTGGGATGCAGCATCTAGTGGCTCCCAAGACGTAGCTTACAAGCAATCACCCACAGGAGTTGCACATGCAGGACGGGATCATGCCATCCATTACTCAGTACGTCATGTTCTATGTATGTTGCACCCACGTGGCGAAGCAGGCATTTTATCGTCGGTTGGTCAACGAGGATCTACTATGCTCGACGTACTGTACATATACCGGCCTCTTGGAGGATTGGTTCATCTTGGGGCCCATGTGACCAGGAAACTGCACACACTTGAAGGAGCTTGGCGACTATGCAGTTGAAATTAGACGTTGGGCATGCTCGCAGGATTCTACGACGAACATGTATTGGGCTGGAGCTATTCTGCCTATATAGATATGACCGCCATGTAGGTAGGTACTTATAGCGGGCTTTTTAGGAACTGGGAGTATACTACGAGTAATTATAGGTAGTAGTATACTGCAATACCTTGTCTACGTTGCATTTGACTAGGCGAAGAAGATGATCTAATCGAGCAACTAGAGACGGGATTAGAAGACCCACGCCATATGCTAGATCAATTCAAGTCATATTATTCAAGCTTCGACTAATGGGGGAGAATGCAAATATACGATTTGTTGATCACTCAGCTCATAAGACTCCTACGTATAGCTCTAGGAATAAAGGTATTATATATCTTGTAGACTAAGAGCTCAACGCCAATAATTAAGGCGCTGGGTAAGAGTATGTAACCCCGATATCAAAGAATATAATAACTCGCACGTAAGGTATATGTACCTACCAATGACTACGAGGGGAAGTTCCGCTTGATAGCCCGACAATGTAACATCTACATGGGGATATGCAAAGCCGTGTCTACTCCCACACTTTCCAAGCAGTACCCCCCTAGAAAAGTGGCTGGACACTTTTGTTTTTTATTGTTGGAACCAATCTGTCGGAAACTGGGTTGTGCATAAGAGGTATAGATACTATGGGGTACATCTAGCTGCTGTCCCCGGTTTCGGGGTGCTGGGGCGTTCTAGATGCAAAGCGAGGGTTCCTACCAGATTCGAAGCTTGTCATTCATATTTCTCACGCGGATCGAGTCTTTACATAACAAGACAAAATGGTACCTAACTTTAAAAATCCTCGAAGATCATCACGCGATCAGCGCAAGGGGATAAGAGAAGATGCTTTTGTATATTTTCCTTCCTGGTTGGGCTACTAAATCGTACGCTTTTGGATGCGTATTAAGACGACGCGTACTTCGTACGACCATCTAACCAATTGATGTGCGAGGCTAGTCAGAAGCATATTAAAGGCAGGCTACGATAGACTGATGATATGATTCTCGACAGCTAGCTCTCACGGGTCTCGGCACAACAATGGACGGGTATGATATAAGAGGCGGGCTATAGTCAACCCTCCTAAAGACCTGTCACTATTCTAGCATGAGCTCCATCGGCCTAGTCAGGGGAAATCATTTTTACGTAGTGGGCTGTGATAATGTCTCCGTCTTATGCAGTTGAAGCCAAGCTTAAAGTGGAATGTGTTCTTCGACTTGCCTCTACAAGATGCAACTCTGGCTGCTCTATATTAGCCAATATCACAAGGACCGTGCTCACTACTTCACAAAAATGACACGCTGCAGAAAAAAAGAGGAAGGGAAAGACGATTCTCTGACATTACTACTCTGCCACTTAAAGCTGTCAACTTCTTGGAGCCCATTTGCGGCTAGGTTGGGAAATGTTCGTCCTACAAGTCACCATTCTCATACGGCGCGTACATAGTGCCTAGTAGGTACATATGTATGTATGTAGACCAGGTCGTGCTACGAATGGGTAATGCAGGTTGCAGGAGGAGGATAACCTGGTAGCGATGATTGAGACGATTCCCTCAACCTCATCAGCCGCCGAAAATAAGTTTTACATTCGAGCACATGACTGGACAACTGGACAGCGTGAGGCAGCCAACCATTCGTTGGAGTTGAGTAGATCTTTATAGGAAATGGGCGCGTGTAACATGTATGATGTATGTATTGAGGAGAGAAATCTAAAGACTGAAGACGAAGTTACGAGTTGAAATAGCCCCGCGTTGGGGAATAAGCAGAATATTGAAATTAAGTGCTGAGGAGAGGGGCAGGAGGGGCAGGACGGCGTGATGGGTAACAACCTTGGTGGAGTTCCCCACCCCCACATTACAAAGGTTATTGTATATTGTGGAAGTTGCTAACGTTATTCTTTAGAACTTAATTGTATACACTTACCTAAGTCTAGGTATATGAGGTAGGTACGGTATGTAATAATAGTAGTTGCAGTACAGTATTATACGTATTGACGTATCTTGGTCTCCTCTTGTCTGGGAAGTGCGGTGTACAATGTTCCAAGTTACATACTACCTTAGTAAGCAAGTACCACCTGAATGGCCCCCAAACTAAACCCCCAATCCCCCAACGTGCCTGGGTCTTCCCGCCAGGGTCTTCCGCGCCAATGCACATCATTCAACACCAAACACCAACCAAGACGCACGGTTCCTAGCATCGAACGGCTTGTTCACCTCAATACCTAGGATCATTGCCTACGATCATTATGACGACAATGATGAAAACAATTGTAATGCTGTGATACTTCGACTGTCCAAATATGTCACCTTCCCTTCACTCCTCCTTAGATAGGCGACAGGATGCCGATCCCCTTCCTATTCACTTGCCGAGTAGTAACAAATGGCTGGTTTCGCTACCGATATACTTTGGCCTAGCGTTACGGTGCCTTAGACGAAGGACAAGCAAGCCGCCAATGATGGCTGTTGTTTGAGCCTAAGACATCACTCACCCATCGCAACCTTGGAGGTCCTCCCCGAACTTGGATAGCGATGTGTTTCCCGCATTCAACAAGCTTCCTTATGATAGATTACTACTACGGTACGACCTCCTGGCTCTTGGCTCAATAAATCATCCACCGGCTCGCCACATTATTGCCTACTCTCTTCGCCGTACTGGCTCCAGTTATTCCGGAGATGACTGTATCAAATTTCGGTCTAAAATCCCTCTGCTGTCGGTTTGAGGGAATCGGAGGCTCGTCTCTGTTCGTGTCTGATATATCGGCTCGTAATTGGTAAGCGGCACGAGGAATTCCAACTACCGTGCAGCATTCACCGCTATTATGACTATTATGAGTTGATTAGCAACAACAACTTAATGTCCGATGAAGCTGCATAGAGGTCATTCGCAACTTTTGACAGTTTTTCGATAAGAGTGACACTGCAGCCGCCCGGCTGCCAATCCTAAAAGCCACAATCACACCGTCCATCCCGGAAGAACGAGTAGACTACTTCCACGAGTCGTACGTAACTTGCATTCGCGCCTCGCATGCCGCTTTGCCACATTGCCTTCAGCCGCCTGACGAGACGTTTATCTGTTAGCCGTCTTTCGTCATAAACGATAGTCCATATCCCTCATCACATGGCCGTTCTTGGCCTTAGCCCGTCTTCGGACTCGTGACAACACGGCCATCTTTCCGCGTCGGCTCCTTCCACTTCTCCTTGGAAAACCCTGACGTTGTTGAGTTTGACCAGCACCCAACCGGGTGCCGCAAGCCCCTGCTCGATAAAGATGTCACCAGGCTTTAGATGACGACGATACCGAAGCTGATGGTCTTTCTGTGCAATCACCGAGACAGGTGTACCTCCACGAATATGGCAAATAGATCTGCCCTTTGACGACTTTTGGTGACTAGACCCGCGTTCTTCTTCCGTTCAATTCCCTAGTCTATGCCTAGACCTCCTACTGACATGTTTAGGTTCTACATGGCTTTCTCTATTGGTGCCAGTCTGCTAGCTGACCCTAGCTCCCAAATGGATGTGTCCCTCTCTATTGGCCAATCCCAAAGGCCGAATCGGCTGGGCTCTATAGGAGCCGTATCACCAATGTCATCGTCAGCTAGTCGACCACTCACGGCCTCTATATTTGAACGGAGTATTTTTTGGGGGATCACCAATATACAGTACCGACCTCAAGCTTACCCCCCCACATTCAAATCCACAATTCGGTCTGTGTGTACCTGACGAGTACACTCCGATACGACCTGCAAGTCACCATGAGGTACATACAGCTCTAGGCTCTCTAGATGGCTATAATATTGTTCAATGTATAACAAATCGTTTAGTCACTATACGTCTAACATCCGTGTTAGCTTTCGCGCGCGATACGAAATCATTTTGAAGACCCTTGCATTCGCAACTCCAGATATGCGGGTGGTGCAGATCTTCCACTGCACTGCTCACGACTTTCCAGCTACCATGTCTTGAGACGGTTGATCTGAAGTGTCCTCTTGAACACCACTGGTAGGGAACATCCGAGCGAGAAACGCGAGAGGGCATGTATTCCAGACTTCTATTGCAGTATGCATTTTCCCGTTTGTGTTATAGAAATGGGATGTTGTCTATGCGCCTGTCTCCTCTTCTCCTATTTGAGCTACTCTCTTCTATTCCACCGATCAGTCCTGTTATTAAGACATAGCTATATCCCACTTTAACCTATATATACCACGTCATTCCCCGTTATTCTATCTTACAGGACTCCCAGCACAACATTAATCACCACCTTCTTATTACAAGAATCTACCCTGGCAGCCATATTACTGTCACCATAGTGTCCCCTATCATTAGCCATGGCACCCCATCTTGACGCACCATCTCCCAGTGGAAGCTTCGCGGTTAGCTTCGACGGAATCCCCTTTCGGCCTGCTACCTCTTCAGACGCAGTGACAGGCTCTCTAGCACCTACCGAGTCACTCTCCTCGTTTAGTAGCTTCTTTGAAAGCGAGTCGGTAGAGGAAGATTTCCATATAACACGGCCACTGGTACCAGGCGTCTATGTACCAACCCTTTGTTTCTTCGACCCGGAGACTGAGGACGTTGACATCAATACTATCGCTCGCCATGCCGTACGACTTGCCGAAGCTGGCGTGACGGGCCTTGCTACTCAAGGTTCTAACGGCGAAGCTGTTCACCTCACACATGCTGAGCGTCAGCTGGTCACTCTCGCTACACGCAAAGCATTAAACGATGCTGGATTCTCGCACATTCCAGTTATCGTCGGTTGCGGCGCTCAGAGCACTCGTGAGACTATTCAGTACTGCCGCGAGGCATGGGAAGCAGGGGGTGATTACGCCCTTGTGCTACCCCCGTCGTACTACGCGCCCTTGTTTGCTTCATCATCTAAGACCATCGAGCAGTACTTTACAACTGTTGCCGATGCGTCCCCGATACCCCTCATCATATACAACTTTCCAGGCGCTGTAAATGGCTTGGACTTATCATCCGACATAATCATTAAGCTAGCACGGCATCCCAAGATTGTCGGTGTCAAGCTGACGTGCGGCAATACGGGCAAATTGAACCGTGTAGCAGCTGCTACGCGGTCGCAATCTGAGGACTACGACCCGGACAAACCCGAATTCCTAGTCCTGGCAGGCTCAGCCGACTTCTCGATCCAGTCCTTAATCGCAGGAGGACACGGCATATTAGCAGGTCTCGCAAACATCGCACCAAAGGCCTGTATTAAGACTATCGAATTATATAAAGCAGGCAAATACTCCGAGGCCCAGAAAATTCAAGAAATCGTATCACGGGGTGATTGGACGGCCATCCAAGGCGGCATCTTGAGTGTTAAGGCGGGACTCCAAGCGTGGTCAGGTTACGGCGGTTTCGCACGAAGCCCACTCCCGAAACCGACCTCCGAACAAAGCAAATCGTGGAAAGAGGGATTCAAAGAACTAATTCTACTGGAGAAATCCATGACGGGTTGCTGACATCCAAGGTTGCAGCAGTGTAGAGACACACACAACTACTGGGATCGTAGTTGGCTCATGATAAAGGGGTACTCTGTTTAACCAAAAGTATGCGAGGATTACGCAATTCTGGGTGTATGTCAAAAAACTAAAAGAGTAAAGGGATTCCTCTTTTCGGTCCATGATTTTCATGCAGGAAACTCGAATGAGACGTTCAAAAAGAATGGTTAGGACTTATTACCAGTCTCACCGGACTTTCTTTTGATTCAGGATGGGTTACCGTATGACCCTCTCATTTGCTTTAGATTAGCGAAACCAATGTATGACCTAGAGGTCACCACTGCAATCGCTCGCGGCACGCCTCTCCTTGATAAAAGGGGGCACAACATTACGACTACCGTATATATTTCGAAAATATCAATACATATTCCTATGAAAATGAAAATTGAAAATATATAGCACTCCTATTTATGTTAGATGATTAACAAAGTCTATCAGGTGGAATTAGGCAATATGCTTCAAAATTTTCTTTCATTTCTAGTTCTCTCATTTCGGTAGTCTTCGTACCTTAGGTGAGAAACGAAGTCCCAATATCTTAATAATTGGGTTTTATCCAAGGCATATTTGATATCTCGAAAGGCATGAATGCCGCCCAAGGCGTCTTAGAAAGCTCTCTTACTAACGAGAGGGGATCAACAACTCGTAGGTTACTATTAGTCATTGCAGAAGCTACCTAGTAGTGATATGCTATTCATCGAGATCGCGAGTTACCATGCTTTGATTCCGTATTCCTAGTGTGGCTAAGAAGGGCGGACGATCTGAGACATACAGCTTCTGCAACAAAAAGCGATTATAATATTGGCCTGTCCCTATAATAATAATAATAATAATCGTATGACTAGTACTATTTGGTTCTACTTAACCATCAAGAGCACTTATTACCAAGAAGGCTGTCTATCGGCGTTAATGCACGAATCCACTCCAAGGGGAACTCTCAGAACCTGCACTCGGCCGAATAAGGAGGTAACCGTAGGTTACCCGATCTGGCTGGCTGTCGAGTATAGGTAAGACGCATACTCGACTTGCATGAAGAAACCACGGCGCCATACCATACCGTACCGTACCGTACCGTACCATGCTATGCTATGCTATGCTATGCTATGCCAAGGTAGGTAGGTATAGGTATAGGTATGTATACATGCCTAACCCCAACCCCAACCCCGACCCCGACTCGCGCAAACTTCTCACGGCGACATGTAGCATCATCGCAAGCCTGCAGGAAGGGTCCCATCACTGTCGGCCTGGTCTCATGCTACCCCCGGATATGTTATATATATTGGATCCAGATGGGTCCGTCGCCGATAGGTTAGCTGCAGTCTATATGAAGACATATGTACATACCTGCGTACCGCTTGGGCTGGCTGCCCCACGCTGCAGTAGCATGCCGAGATGACTGCTCTCTCTCTCTCTCTCTCGTATTCCGCGGGGGGATTGAAGTAGGCGGGCGGCTGGGAGGTGCGATGGAGATGTGGTAGTGATGGTTTCTTCGCAGGACTTGGAAGTTGAAACTTGGAAGTTGGTCCGATGGAGCGGAGCGTCTGGCCAAGGTCCCCTCGTGCGCGACTTCGGACTTCGCGGGCTGTGTAGGTAGGTAGGTATTGTATCTCCGGGCTCGAGGCAAGATCTAACGATGGCTGGGGGGGGGGGGGGGGATGAGTCTGCTGCTGTGCTAGGGTGCGCCGACATTGATATGTCATCATCTATACACGATGGCGGGTTACGACAGAGTGACATGTCGTCTCGCGTTTAGATCCCTTGGCTTGAGGAGCGTGGGGGAGGATACGAAGGGCGCATTGGACCAGGTGTAGATGTGGTAGGTACAGGTATCTTGTGTATCCCTTTTTTATTCTTAGTCTCGATGAAACTGGGGTTGACTGTCCATCTCTATTCGCTCGACATGTAATGTGTTTATCGAGCCCACCTTAGATATTTATAGGGGCTTACATGAGGATGCGTAGTGTGCTCTCCGGCGTCGGCTTTGAAGAAATAAACGGCAGTAGTCATGATGTTGTCGGTGGCTTATTTGCTAATGTAGACTCCTCGGCTTTTGATAAGTTACTGAAACTACTACTATATACCATTACTGTCTTACCAATTACTCCCCTTCTGTTCCTTCTCAAGTATAATACTCTAAGCCCCTTCCTTTCGACCTGATGTTCAGCCTGAGTACAAGATACGATCAATGTTAAGGATACAGTCATCCTGTAATTTCCCCTCGGAACTATGGACGTCTTACCTTGTAATAGCAAATCTAACTTCCTAAGTACGAGAACATATTTATTACTCAACGTGAATAGGGGCAAGTATTAAACAAGAACTTACTACACCTACATGTGTCCCCTATGGCCAAGTTATCATACCCCTAAGTCTAATGTGTTAAATATAACATATCTCAAAAACCACTCTTGCAATAAATAGGTAGTTTCCATATACAGTTATTTAGTAGGCCAAGTATTTACCTCACCTCTACAACACCACCATAAAAGCAGCAGTCATACCAGCAACAAACAAGCCAGACCACAGCGCACCCCCCTTCCCAGCAGCCCCCGAGTTCCCATCTCCTCCAGAGCCACTACTACCCCCATCCCCATCCCCATCCCCATCCACAACCTCAAGCAACACTCCCTCCGCCCTCCTAATCTTAACCTCTAGCGCCCCATTCTCCCCAACCTCAACAACCTCCTCCTCCTCCTCCTCACCCACCGCCTCCCCCGTCTCCCCATCAAACGTAACCCTCGACACCGCAACACCGCTCTTAGCATTCGTCCCCGGACCCGTCAACCGCGTAACACTAACATTACGTCCGGCCGCCCACGGCGTCGACAGCTTAATCGTGCTAGAAGGCCTCGTGCCGTTGCTAAACGACGTGCCGTCCGTCGCTTTTAGCGTAGAATTATTACCCAGGCCCTCCGTGCCGTTCCACACGCCCATATCCAAGAACACAAGTTTCCTCAAGGAGCGCTTTTCCTCCCCCTCCCCCTCCCCTTCATCCTCCTTCTCGCCCGCATACACCGCATACCCGCTCAACGCACTACTATTAGCCCCCGGCAGCGCCGCAATACCCAACTCTTCTTCGTCATTTCCCTTTGAAATTGCAGCCACCACCTTAGCCACGAAGTAATGCCCGTACCAATTCGCGCGTATGCCCGCCCCTAGCGTCTCGTTTTTGGCCTGGTACGCTTTTGGCGTGAACGCGCTGTACTCGCTCTGCGCGCCGAGGTGGAAGTACGTCTTGCGGATGCCGATGGACGCGCCCATCAGCACGTAGTCGACGCCCCAGAGGGCCGCGCCTAGGGTGTCGCTGATGCCGCTCTTGCCGCTGCAGGAGACGGAGTTGGTTTCGCCCATTACTAGGGGGGCGCCGGCTTTGTCGGCTGCGGCGACTTGGGGGGCGTATTGGGAGACGTTCTGGGGTGTGTTAGTCGTGTTTTTTTTATGTTATTGGCAAGGTAGAGAAGATGGGGTTGGAGGGTTGGGTTTGAGTCTCTTAGAACATCTCTATAGGAGACGTGATGTCTATAACACCCTATTAAAAGGGGGGTTGATCACTCACTGCCACACGGTTAGTATTTCTACCAGAACAGATAGCAAACGAGACCAAACTCACCCTGCCAAAGCACCGCATGATTCGACAGCAAATCCAGCCTCATGCGCAGCCACCTCGGCCCATCACACGTCGACTGCGGGTACAAATGCGTGGCATAACTACCAATAATATCGCGATCCCCGCTCCTCTCGACAAGCGTCAGGTTCTCAATGCTAAAGTCGTCAACCTCATCCTGCTGGTCCGGCACCCACGGCGGGTCGGCAAACACGCCCGCCTGGAAGGTCGGCTTGTCGTCTGCCGCCTTGTACCACTCCGAGTTGACGATCTGGCCCGTTACGTTGCGGAACTGCTCCATGTAGGCGTTGACGCCCCAGGTCTGGTCCCGCCACCGCTTGTTGATGAAGTGGTCGATCTCGTTGCCGAGCTCGAACTGCACTAGCTTTTTGCCGAGGGCCTTGTGCGCTGCTTCGGCTTGCGCGACGGCGGTGGACCATGCCGAGTCGTTGACGGCGAGGTTGAGCGTGTAGATGATGTCGGTGTCTTCCGGGAAGTAGTCTGCCCAGCTGTCGTACCAGCTCGGCGTGATGTTGAACTGCTTCGCGGTGAGGGGAGTTGGGATAGCGAACGAGTCGTTCCCGGTTGACAGTTTGTCGTGTAGATAAGTCTGGTCGGCCGTGTTGCCGCCGACACGGATTGGCGGCGGCTTGCCGGTTACTTTTGCGATGGCGCTTAGGAGATTCTTGGCTAGGGGCGTGCTAATGTAGTCGTTAACCCATACTGGTTCGATCGAGTACCCGTAGACATCAGGTACAAGCGGTCGAGTGGCGAGGTCGCTTGGGATATCGACGTTGATATCTTGAGCCACGACCTCAGCAGTAGCTGCAAGAGCTGCGAGGGCAACTGAGCGGATACTCATTATAGGCGAATAAGTTCACTGCACGAAGATAGCAGCAATAGCTCTAATCAACCCAAACACAAAACCAGCTCGACTCGCGACAACGCCGCCATTATAAATAACAATGCCAATACCGTCTAGACGTCACTTCGGTCGGTTTACGTATCATTCCCCAACGCGGTGGATTCCTCGAACCAGGTACGAGGTAGCATTTCCACCGGGGTCGGCTGGCTGAATCAGGAATGGCACCTTTGACGATCCGGGGAAATTCGAGCCGAAGGCGCAGGTAGAAATTGTCCACCTGTTGGAAGCCATTGCGGCGGACGTATGTCTGGGTACTCTTATGATAGTCGTATTATAAGGGTAAGAGAGTTGATATTATAAGTGGTTGGGTTATTCGACCCCAATTATAAGTTATAACATAGTATAATAATGCGGGGAAGCATGGAGTAGCTCTTTTATATTGAAGTAGCATCGTATACCGAGTATACACTCAGGTATTACGATAGATATCATACACCTTTATGTCTATCAAATTCCATATATACACATATTCTCCCCTATCTACGGCGAAGAGTACTTATACCCATACTTCTCCTTCGCCTCATTCAAAAACCTCAACGACTCCTCATGCTCCCTCTTAGCCTCTGGATCCTCCTCCCTCTTCTTCTTCACGTCCTCATTAGTAATAGGCAACCGACTCGGTATCGCGTACCCCCTTTGAACCGCGGGCCGCGCCATGCACCTATCGATCCACTTCTCGATATTAGGGAACGGGGAGATGTCGATCCCCGTGAAGAGCGCGCCGTTGACCCAGCCCAGAAGGTTGATGTCCGCGATGCTGAATTTGCCCTTGCCTGCACCCACGATGAAGTCTCGCCCCTCGAGACGCTTGTTTAGGACGCCGTAGAGACGCTCGGTTTCGCCGACGTAGCGCTGGACTGCGTAGGGGATCTTCTCTTTGGCGAAGCGGAAGAAGTGGTTTGCTTGGCCTTGCATGGGGCCGACTCCGCCGCTGTTGTGTAAGTAACGGTGTTAGCCGGGTTTACTAGGTATTTAAGTGAATATCATAAATTTCAAGTGTTTCTTGGGCAAATCTCATATCCAAGTCAAGTAAGTAATAGATCAAATACGTACTGCTGCCAAGCCATCCACTGCTCGCAGACGCTATAATCGTCACTGTCGACTGGGAAGCTAAACTTATGTTCCGGGTCGTAATGGCGCGTCAGGTAGTTTAAGATGGCGAGACCCTCAAACACGGCGAAGCCACCCCGGTCATGGTCGACGATAGCCGGGATTCTGCCATTGGGGTTTATTGCGGTAAACCACGGCTGCTTTTGCGTGTTCTTGAGGATGTTGACGGATTGCCATGTATACTCCTTGCCGTACGCTTCTTTTAGCTCCTCTAGTAGGATGCTAATTTTTAGGCCATTAGGTGTAGCTATAATAAAGTATTAATACGACATGTATATTTAGGTATCTTTCAAAAGGAGAACCCACTAAAGGTCAAAAGCTCAATGCCGCTCTTGGCAATGAGGCCGGTTGGTTCGGGTTGTTCGGCCATATCGTTGTCTAGTTTGTATAATATTCGGGATGTGGAAAATAGAGCTTTACGGTATACAATCTTCGAGTAGTTTGATCGCTGAATGAAAGTGACACCAAAGCTTTGAGACAAAGGACGGGCAGTGAGAATATTTATACGCCGCAGTATCACGCTGCGGGGGATATTGAGCGACATGAATACCTATATTTAGTTTCAGCAAACCAAAAGTAAAGGTGGTACGTAGTACGTAGGCTCTCCCTTTGAAATGGGGTTGGTTCAGTGTAGCCTTTGACCAACTGCAGTATTAACTTTCTACTTTGGAGATTTATGATTACATACCTAACCTAGGTTAATCTACTTAGGTACCTCGTAAGGGCATCTCGTAAGGGCATCTCGTAAGGTAGAGAGATATGCGTACATGTTATTACTTAATCAGCCGGGTTATACTTGCAGACGACTTGGTGGTTCCCGCTTTTCCGCTTATTGATGCCATTAGTATTTCTAAGCACAACATTATTATTTCCTCTCTTGACGAAGCTTAAGCATATCAAAACCTTAGCTTACCTTAACTCGCATCGTCGGTCTTTCGATTGCTCCGACATCAACTCTCTAATTTTAGCTACGCCGCTAGAGAGCACCAGCATTGTCCCAGTAGCTCTGATTGAAAGGGTATAGTGCCTCTTAGTTTATAAGACTATAGTAAATAAGTTGATATAGGGGCTGTGGGAGGTATTATATAATCTGAATTATATAGATACCTTCTCTATAATTTAGAAAGTTGTCCGTCTCGGCGGTCAACTGTGAACTGACTAATGCAATACCAAATCACCTATCCTGTAAATAAGACACAAGTACACTACAAACGTCAAGATTACTAAAGCATCTATTGGGAAAAGAGGATTGCCGCTACTGCAAGGACTTCGACTAGTTTGGTCCAAGCAGATCTAGCCGATCAGATCCTAGCACGATACCTACATGTAGATAGCTCTCATGTATGTAATAACTCTTAGTCTGCATATGTGCCTAGGTAGGTAGGTATGTACGTTAGATGGATCTGTTGGATAGCTCCGCCGGCTCCTACGTTACGTACAAAACCATTTCATTCGTAAAAGCAATTGCGACTGTCTTGCTTGATCATACACACAATTAACCTGAAGCCAACCTGAGCATGGCTCAACCAAGCCGGTCAGAGAAACCCTTTAAATCCTATTCCTGCCACCCTCATCAAAAACGTTGAAGCCGGCCCCGTCAAAAATTTCATTGCACTTCACGCGTAGCCTACCCCTAAAAGTACTTTTATTCCCTTATTTTCCTCGTTACCTACTACTTCATATTTGTCAAGCTCCCTACAAACAGATCATTGCCACGGTATGGCTATCCGGCCATATGTGGAGAAACGGCGCGGTATCTAAATAACGTAAGGGGGGTCGCTCAAATAAAGTTGAATTAAGAAATTTACCAGTAACCGCCACCTCGGCGGTATTCCTCCCGGGGATAGCCACCGCCCTCGCGAGGCCCATAGCCACCCTCACGCGGGGGAAAATCCCTTGGAGGCCGGTCATAAGGCCGGCCGTTGACATACGGATCCGGAGGGGGTCCGTAGTCGCGGCGATAAGGATCTTCGTAGCGACCACGTGGAGCTGGATAGTCGTCAACAGGTCCACGGCGCGGTGGGGATCTGTAACGGCGATCGTCGTAGTAGTCGCGACGAGCAGCGGGGCTCCGGTCGCGGTAATCATCGCGATAACCACGCGGGCTGTTGTACCCACGAGGCGGTCCACGGCGATCGTAACCCTCGCCCGGCGGGCCGTAAGGTCGACGACCTACAGGGGAGCGAGAACGGGCGCCGCGCTCGCGAGTAGGGAAATCCGGTTGGGTCTAGTATTCCATGTTAGTAAAAAGAAAGTAGTGTAGACCCTAGATAAACCTACGTCAGCGATACAATTGACTCGTTGTCCCTTGAACTCGCGGCCGTCGAGCTTCTCTACAGCAGTCTTCAGGTCGGCCGCGGTCTCAAACTCGACAAAGCTGTTTAAAATCCGTTAGCTTATATGATCATGGGCCAAGATAATCCGTTGGGAGCCGCTACGTACCCTCGGCCATTGCCGTCACGGCCCGTCTCCGAGTATACGACATCCAAGCTGGATTGTCGAGCAAAGTCTTTCAGGTCCTAGATCCAGATTCCATGTAAGTGGGGGTCCGAGGAGCGGTGTAGAACATGCGAATGAGGCCAATATTTCCAACTCCAGAAGCAGCACCAGCAAAAGGAATGCGGTCAAACCAATCCAAGCAGGCGGTTACGTCTAACATTGGAAATCCCTGAGGCACCTTGGCTAATTCCCTGAGACCTGTCCGCTAGAATTTGGGAAAGCTAAAATCGATGGTTATGACATCACAAAAAATAATATCTTGGATACCAGCGTCCCCGTTGTTCGGGCGAAAAAGTACACGGCGCAAGATGGCTCGCTGTACCAAGGAAGGGGAAATCATCTAAAGCCAGAATCCGAGGGCGAAGAACGGGAAAACGGGAGTTAAACAGACCTGCCAGCTGGTATCATTGGGAAGTCCAGTAATCTGCATGCGATGGGGAGTGCGACGGGGTCGGGGAGCACTGCGCTCGTGACCACCGAAGCCTTCGCGGTGGCGAGAACCTCGAGCGAATTGTACGGTCAAGCGTTCGCCCATGAAATCAGATCCATCTTATCGTCATATTAGCCAGGGAAACAACGGAGAAATCAGGTGAGACGGTGGCCAGGAACGGTCCAAGACGTACGGAAAGCTGTGACACGAATAAAGTTAGCTATTGACTGCCGCTGACAAGACTTTGCTAGACGCGCGGGTTTACTCACCAGGAACGACATCGCGCGCATCCATGGGATCCTTGTATTCGATGAAGCCGAATCCATTCATCAGCTTGACCTCGGTAATTTCACCAGTGCCATGGGTTGCGAAGTGGGCTTCCACATCGGCCTTGGTTGCTAGACGGGACAGTTAGCAGTCACGACAGGGCGACACAAAATCTAGCTCGAAGCTCCGTTACACTGCAACATGAGCTCGAGCAAGCATCCGGTATAACTTACCACCCTTTGGCAGGTTGCCCAAGTAAAGCCGGGTAGCGGAAACCTCAGTAGACGCCATGATCGCGGTCGGTAGAAACGAGGCGCGAGTCCTGATGACTGTTTAGAACAAAAGGTTGGGGAAAAGCTCGCGTGCGCTGCGAGAAAATAGGCAAGACTCTGCAAAGTCGTTGCGCGAATCACGAGGAACCAAGTAAGAAATGCCTGGACGAATTGTTTGCCGAATCAGATGGTTCGTGGGTGGGTTGCGTGAGAAAAAAAAAAAGTTGGCACGAGGCCGCGGAGCAGAAGGGAAAACCCCGACGAGAGAGGAAAACCTGGAGTTTATCGAAAAATGCGGGCAACGAAAGCGGCGAAAAAAATTGGATGGAGGGTAAGAGATAGGCCGGCTATAAAACTGGTGGTTGGAAAAAAAAAGAGGAAGTAGTCCTTGTGTTGCGCGGGTAGCAGAAAGGACGGGTAGTATTATGCCCGTATCACTTTGCTTTTGGTTTTTATTAAAGCTGACAAGTGATTGATGCAGAAGATCGAGGTGTGATGGGGGATGGCAGCTGCTGGATGGGCGGCTGGATGGGTTAGAATGAGAGGAGACAACTTGAAAGAATGGAAGGTGTCTAACTGGCAACTGGCTGCGAAGAGCACCGTGCACTTTAAAAAAATGTGGAGGCGGTAGAGCGGAGCTACCTGTGAGATTTGGTGGTTAGAGATCCTCGCCCCGCACAGGCCAAAAACAGGCTAACCTTGAGTGGAATATACATGGTACATGCATGTAGTGTATGTAGGTTAGGTACGAAGTACAAGGATAAAAAGGTACCTATATGTACCATCTACATCTACTCAGCTTCACTTACACGAGAATAACAAAGCTCGTGATTATTCATTACCAACTTCATAAAAAACGGACGAGCAGGCGTATAAATATTCAAAACACTATAGGCTGTATATGCATACATCGTACAAAATATAAGTTCCACGTTACGACGCATGTATGTACATGCTTGCCTTCGAATTACCCCTCGAACATGGATGCAAGCGAGCAAGCGCCTCACTTTCTTTTCCTAGCGGTAGCTCTCGATACGACACCCAGCGCCTTTCCGCAGCGATCGCAATGATAAGAGCTACACCGCCAACTATGCCTAACATTCATACCTGGTATTCATTCACTCGCGCCTCGAAACCATCCTAAACTCGACTGGTCCAAACGCCGATGCTATGCTGCGCTGTGTAGAAGAAAATGCCTACTTAGAAGATTAAGCTTCATTAAATAGAACGTCAATTAGTTCGTCCATAATCGTAAAAACCAAATGTGAGCTGCGATTGTTCATTAGCGCTATAATACGTCTATAGACCGGTAGCATTACGTACTTTAACCTCGAGTTATTGAGCGTCGCAAACATCCTGCGACTCGCGGCTTGGGCGTTTAGCCGTCCGACCACGTTTCCAGCCAAATCCGGAACGAGAGTAGCCAGCATCAAGCTTGCTTCTCTTCGAGTTCGTGCTTTCTCTGACGATGTCCTGGGCTGCTTGTTTCTATTAAGCTGTCCGCCGGGCCACATGCTGTTCCTTAGGAGATCGATATATTTAAGGATGGCGTCTTCTTGAACCAGCACCTTGAAATTGTCTCGTACTTTTCGTTCAATGGTACCTCCGAGCATCTGGTGTAGCACAACGACAACAGCTCGGCCACGAAGCCAATTATTACCCCGATTAAGCCCAAAGACTTCGAGAAAGACGTCGCAGATTGGTTTGATGAAAGGCTCGAGCTCTTTATTCTCAAAGGCATTCAATTCGGCTTCGGCTTCTGCAGCCGTTATGGCATCCTCGTTGACGCTAAGCGGCATCGTGCTCATCTGGCTTGTAGCCGCCGCAATTAGATTCTGCCCCGCAGTTGAGAGCTGGTCCAGAACAGGTATATTTCCCAAGATATCCTCCATGCCATCAGCAACGGAGTCGTATAGACGCGTAATCATGTCCTTTTTATCCTCGCGGTTCATTAGGTCCTCCCCCTGAGTGATGACGCTTTGGGACAGAAAGGCTCGTAGATCTCTGCTGCGGCATACATCTGGCAGGAGAAGGAGTTCGCTCAAGTACCGCTCTAACCCATCACGCCGCTTACGAAGAAAGTCGCTTTGAAGTTTCAGGACCATCCTCCGTCTCGGGAACTCCAAGTTCCGTACCGAGGGATACCTGTCTCTCAATTTCTGATGAAGCTCGTGGAATTCGCTGTATCGTCTTGTCACAATCCAAGTGGCTGCAGGCATCTTCTCTCCCGCGTTCCTCTTAACCTCAATGACGTATAAGGCGAATTCCTTTCCGTCTTCCTCTCGTCCCACTTGGATGGCCTTGATCTTGATCGACGCACGCCCGTATAAACTATTATCGCTCTCTTGAATTACATATTGTTGTCGCTGTAGTTCCTTTCGCCGAAGTTCCCTCTGCAGACTCGCTTTCGACTTTCGTAAGATGCGTAATTCTGCTGTATTATTAGTTAATTCCGCCTTCTTCGTTAGTGATTCTATGACAGCCTCCTGGGAAGCGAGTCGTTCAATATCGTTGGTAAGGGCTGCAATGGCCTCCGCAAGGCCTAGGTCGCCAGGGGCGGCTTCGTGAACCTCGTCTTCGACGTTACCGACTTCACCTTCGTTATGATCTTCCTGCTCGTCTGACAAGAACTTATCCTCGTCTGCGAAAAGGTCGTCGTCTATGAATACCCCAATTCTGGATGCCGCACTGACGAGTCCGAGAGATGCTAAGCTGGGCTTTTCGACTTCCTTCCCAGATTGTATTGGATGTTGTTGGTCTAGTGAACCCCTAGCTGAACCATTATCTTGAGCCGAGAATATGCTTGAAGCTCCGTCATCATTCCCAAATAGCGACTCGCGAAGGTCCTCTGCAGTTTGAGGTCGATCGTCTTCCATGATGTTATTCAGTGCTTCCTCCACCGCTTGGACTACATGGGTGTCTGGTACGGGTCTCAATAGTTCTTGATCAAGACTCATCACCGAGTCTGCCATCGGATCATCATCCGGATCGTTATCACCAAATAATGGTGAAGTTGCGCTATCATCGAATGATCGCCGGTGACCCGTTGAAGAATCTGGGCTATGGTTAACGTTGGTAGCAACAGCTTTTAGGTCTGTGGTAGATAGGCCTCGTCTAACTTGACCGTTGGATGTGTTTATCTTCGGATTAAGCTTTGCCACAGGCGCGGGTTTCAACCCATACGACTGCGAAGCGCGAAGTGATGGCGGGCCTGTAGCTGGCCCTGCCTGAGATTGTTGTGCTAGAGGGATATTCTTCGATGCCTCTTCCGATGCTAAAGCCTTATAGAAGATCTCCGACTTTTTAAACGCATCTAGATGTTTGGACTGCATATCCTCGAGTACGGCACTTTGAGCCCGTAACACAGCCCGGCGTGCCTTATAGTACTGTGCCGGGGAGGCTGCTTTTCCAGCGTCAAGAAATTCGCGAATAACGCGCCGCGAGCTAGCTGGGACCTTGAGTTCCTTTTTAGATAAGTAGGCCTGATCAATTTGGGCGATGTCTGTACGATCAGATTCGGTCCAGGGGCTCAGAGTCGAAGGTAATTGCTCATCGTCGTGTCCATCATCTTCCAAAGGGTTTCGTAAACCATCTACCACTAGCCAGAATTGTACAAGGGGCATCAAGCCTTGTCTATCCATATACTCCATAAAATAAGAAAGACCGGACGTGTCACGCAGGATTTCAACTAGAGACGCGTTCTCAAGCCTTGAAGACCCTATATTTGGCGGCGGAGTGCTCGATAGGGGTATGTGCCGTCCGTCACCACCCGCAGCTAACTGCTGAACCCTCTGATCCAGGAGTCGTTTGCCCATTTCTAACCGACGGAGGTAGATCGGGTCCTGTCCCGAGTACTGGGAGTCTCTCTTCAGTTGGCTTGTCACTTCGCTTCGAAAACGTCTCGCGTCAGACAAATTGTTAAGTTTGCGGATCGTGCGGATGAATTTTTCAAACCGACGCTCGCTATCACCCGAAGCCAATCGCGGGAAAGCTACTGGCCTAGAACTCTTTGGTGCCGGCGACGCATGCGCATCTAAGGCCGCACGAAGCTTACGAACTGTCGATCGGTCTTGCAGCATGCTTCGACCATAATTTTCCATTACTTGGTTCCAGGTATCGGGCTCGGATAGAAGCTGCAAAGTAGGGAAGAAGACAGTACAGGCGACAATTTCGCGGACGATGTTAAACACAACCCGGCTGTCAACCATGTTATTAGGTAGTACTTTTGGTAGGACCTTAGTAACTATATTCCGTAGGTAATCTTGCTGTAGCAGTTTTGTATCCGAGTATGCCAAAGACACAGCTGGATGTAGTTTACCGTCATTATATTTTGCGGCAATGGCCAAGTCCAACTCTTCAGATTCTGTAACATCACGATTCAACTTACGGCCGCGAACAGCCCTCTCCGCATCGTAGAAATCGCGAAAGTGAGCTGTTAATATTGGGACAATCCTACTCGTTACCACTTCCACCAGGTCTGTTTCGAAGAGACGGTCTCGAATGCTAGCTAGCGCATGTCTTATAATCTTGTCCGCCTCGTTCGCGAATACCGGGTTTTTACTTATGTGCGAATACCATGATTTGACAAAATCCCGTATAATCAGATCGAGCAAATCGTCTAAGGCGTTGGATATAGCGGGAGATTCGGCATATAGGGGGTCTTTAAGATACGTTTGTCGAATTCGTAAAGCGGTGGTCTCTTTGTGCCAAGAAGCGGGACCTGAAAAGATGACTGCATTGGGTCGTGACGTTCTATTTCGTTGGCTGTATGTTGAGCCCCGGGAGGTGAAAAGTAAGAGGAGACAGGCTAGAAGGGTTACAACGATGCCGCTGACGAAGGCATACCCCATCCATCGAATAGAGGGAAACCAGCTTGTGGCATAACCCCATGCGATGAAGCAAACGACGCCAGCATAACCAACATCTCTCCCCTTAAGGGCCATACTCAGTCTGCTGCGGCTTTGAAACTGGCGTCATGACTTGTCCGTGGGGTGACAAGTATATGTGGTATCGTGGGAATCGGGAATCGTAAATGACGGCGAATTGGAGGCCAAGAGCTGCTTATCGATTGAAGTTGCTGTAAGTTCCGGCGCATTAGGTAAGGTACATGTACTTACCATACGGGGTAATGAGATGCAAGTGGAAGCACGGGTCATGAATTTATGTATGTACATAGTACAGCAAGGTACATACCTTAGGTACAGGTAGGTACATGTATGTACCATGTACCTATCAATAGTACATGAATGATGCCCCATCCATTAGACGCGATTCTCAATGCAGGCTCCGAATTTGTCATTGAATAACAAAATTCTGGTCAATGCTAGGCTCGTTTCTCGAAGCGAAGCGACATAAGACTCCTTATATTTCATCAGTCAAGTTATAGAAAAGAGCAAGTTTCCGAATCTTCATAGGATAGTCATCACCGGGTATCTTTATATTCCAATGCAGTGGCTGCGCGAGCTTTTTACGGAACTCCTCATCTTGCTTCCTCTTAACCTAGAATGATATTCTAGCCATATTGTCATAGAATTTGTAGTCGTAGTAGTGGTCACCACTCAGGATCTTCCATGCGCCGGAACAAGGCAACAAATTTCTGGCCCTTATTTCTCTCGACCTTCTTTCCTTCCTCGGTTTCTGTCCTCATCACTTCTACGCATGGATCGGCATCTTGCTCCTCTTCAGGCACTCTCTCGAACGAAGGGTGGGCCTCAAAATGTTGTACCATCCACTCGTGAAGATTCTCCACATCCGTAATGGTATATACAATTCCACCCGGCCTGAGGGCGTATGCATACTCGGAATTAAGTGTAGTGGACACGAT